GAAGAATTCCCCCCCCCCCCCCCCCCCGTCTTTCAGATAAGACACAGGGAGCAAGCATTTTAGCCTAGTGGTTAAGAGACCGGTCATGGGGCGGCCATTGCGGCTCAGCAGGTTAAGCCGCAGCCTGCAACCCTGACATCCGATGCTAGAGTCCTGGCTGCTGCTCTTCCGATCCAGCTCCCTGCTAATGCGCCTGGGAAGGCAGCAGCAGATGGCCCCTGCCACCCACAAAGGGACCCCACTGGAGTCCTGGCTGCAGCGTGGACCAGCCAAGGCAGCCACTTCCAGAGCGAATCAGCAGAGGCGAGATCTTCCTGCGTCTCCTCTCTCTCTCTCTCCTCTGGCACTCTGCTTTCCAAGTAAATAATACACAAATCTTAAAAAAAAAAAAAAAAAAAAAGACACTGGCCACTCGGCACATCGGAGTGCCTGGGTCTGACCCCCAGATCCAGCTCTGACTCAGCTTCCTGCCCAACAGACCCTGGGAGGCAGCAGCCAGGGCTCCAGTCACGGGCTCCTGCCTCCCACGTGGGAGCCTGCGGTTAGACTACGCCCAGCTCCTGGCTTCAGGCCAGTCCAGCGCCAGCTGTTTCTGACAGCTGGGGCGAGAACCACCAGATGGGAACTGTCTCTCTTCTCCTGGAATAAGTCAAACTTTTAGAGAGAAGCTATAACACACATAAAGAACGTGATACATAGGGCCGGCATCATGGCATAACAGGTTAAACTGCCGCCTACCATAGGGGTGCCGACCCAGCTCCCTGCTACTGCCCTGGGGACAGCAGTGGAAAATGGTCCAAGTGCTTGGGCCCCTGCACCCCCATGGGAGACCTGGAAGAAGCTCCTGGCTCCTGGCTTCAGCTCAGCCAGTTCCAACCATTGCAGCCATTTGGGGAGTGAACCAGCAGATGGAAGACCTCTCTCTTGCTCGCTCACTCTCTCTCTCTCTCTAACTCCACCTTTCAAGCAAATAAATAAATCTTAAAAGAATGTGACACGTGCTTGGCTGCTCCGTAACTGTTCACTCTACTGTTCTTTGTGGGGGAGACTTACACAGCCGGGGTAGCGGGGACCCTGGGGAGAGGGAAGAAGTCAGGGTGTGGCTGGATTAAAAGAGCAGAGAGTGCAGTTTTAGCGTGAGATCTGGAACGCGAGGCTGTGCGGGGAAGGGATGGGCTCGCTTTGGAGCGGAGGTGGTCGATCGCCAACCAAGAGAGATGACGGAATCACTCAACCCTCAGCGACAACTCCGTGCGTGAGCGCGATCTTGCAATGAGGACAGACACGAAGGAGCAGCGCTTGGAAGGGAAACGGCCGGCGGGGGAGGGCCGGGGAGCACGCCTCTGTGCTGGCGTCCGCCCCGGTCCACAGTGGCAGCAGAGCCAAATAGCTTGCAGATGTGGTCAGCGGGTGTCATCTGCAGAACTCGGCACAGCAGCTTCAGATGGGGGTGCGAGTGTGTGTGTGAGTGTGCGTGCGTGTGTTCGTGAGCATGTGTGTGCATGTGTGTGGGTGTGTGTGTTCACGCATGTGTGTGTGTGCGTGTGTGCATGTGTGTCTGTGTATGTAGGGGAGTGGATTCAGGGAACAGCAAGCCAGCCGGCTGAATGGCAGTCCTCAGTTAAACAGACCGTCAGCAAAGACACACTCGGCTGCTTGGCCGCCTGGGCTCCCTGGAAACAGGGCCCTTCCAACACATCTCTCCTACTTGTTCAAAAGGGCCGGGCCCACTGCGGGAGCGGCGGACCTGGTGGAGTGCACGCGCTCCCCGCTTTACAGCCACTTCCTGTGCCGGGGACAGGCGGACGACAAGGGGGCGGGCTCAGGTGGCGGTGACCTGGCTGGTGCTGCGGGGGGAGGGGCAGCGGCATCACTGCGGGTGGGGATGCGGGGGATGTGGGGCCTGCGGCTCCACCGCCCAGCGTGGAGGGAGGTCTGGATTCTGCTTTGGTCCACGTTCTGCTCTAGGTCTGGACCGAAGACCAGGGTGAAGACCCAGAAGACACGCTGGGCACAGGAGCAGGAGGCAGAGGCAAGAGCGATGGCCACCTGCTGGCTGGGGACACTGACTCCCGGTGGCCCGGATGGACCCCCTGGGACGGACAATGGGACCAATCAGGCTGGAGGCTTCGCTGGGACAGGAAGCAGCACGTTCCACTCAGGATCACAGAGTCCTGTAGCTCACCCTTGGGAATTTGAAATACATGACACCCAGCAGGCCCAGGCTGCACACGGCGAGCCCAGGGACAGATCAGCGTGCCCCCCAAACACTTTTTGAGGGCCTCGGGGAAACAAGGAGAACCCTGCAGAGGGAGGCCGGGCCCCTTCTACAACAGCATCCACAAGTAACAGGCAGGGAAGGCTTCCTGGAGGAGGCCACATTCAGACCATGAAGATAGGGACGGCTTCCACCCACTTCCTGGTCTGCGGGTGGCAGTGAGTTGAGAACCAGGAGTGAATCCCCAAGGTGACAGGGAAGGTGGGAGCTGAGACTGTGCTCTGGACCAGAACGGAGCCACAGGTGACAGGCGGCCAGCGAGCTGGGGGCAGACGACCAGGCCCAGCAGCCGCTGGGGGACCCTGGCGTGTAGGAGCAGAGGGTGAGGGCAAGCAGAGGCCAGTGTGCTGGAGGCTTCCTCAGCTGTTCCCAGGGAGAGCTCGTCAGGGCTGGGAAAGGCCCGGAGGGGACAGCCGGGAGAGCCGGGAGCGGAGGCTGGGCCTAACCCCCCGTGCCTGGGTTTGTATGGAAGTCACAGCACAGGCGGGAGCACTGAACGAGGGGTCGAGCGCTGAGGAAGGAGCAGGTGCTCAGATGGGACCTGCCGGGTAAACGCACACAGTGGTGCCACCTACGTACGAGTGCCGACCGACACCGACTGTGAGGCGAGGCGCGGGTGATGGATCACCGGGCCCCCTACGCTGGGGGTCCAGCAGAGGAGGGAGTTACCTTCTCCCCCGGCGTGACCGAGATGCGCCAGACACAGTGCATGTGGGCGGAGTAGCCGTTGGGGTACTCGGGGGAGGAGAAGTTGCCGGTGCTGTCCTGCAGGGTCTCTCCACAGGCTGTCAAAGAAAGGGAGTGACTGGGCAGCTGGACCCAGGCGCCCCCAGGCCTTCACCTCCCGGCTCGCCCTCCCCCCCTCCTGCCGTCCCAGCTGGCGCTGCCCTGGAAACCGGATGCCCTGTCGTCAAGGCAACACAGGACCCAGCACCACCCAGCTCTCCTGGACCCGTGCGTGGCTGCTCCCTGGCCTCTGCCGCCCTCCCACCTGCGCCCGGCCCTGCAGAGACCTGGGCACTTGTAGAGCTTGCGGGCTTGTGCGATGTCGCCCTTGCTGAGCCGGGTCCTCTGGCCGATGGGGGGCTTCACCCCGTTCACCTCGTACTTGGGCACAATGGTGTCCAGGAAGATGCCCCTGGGGTGGGGGGAGAGAGGGGGTGGGGTCTGAGGGGAGGTGGGCCGGCGTGCCCGTGGGCACCCACAGGGCGCGACCCTGCCCAGCCGACATTCCTCGTCGGGGTCAGGGACGGGCGGAGCTGGCTCACCCTGTCATTACACTGCCCACTGCCCGGCTGCCATCGTGCCCCGTGGCAACTACACCACAGGAGTCAGGGCAGCCCCAGCAGTGCTGCGGGAGCTCAGAGACACAGGCCTGCTGCCCCCGACTTCCAGGCCGGGCCCCTCCCCCTCCCCCAGCCGCTGCTTCTGTGGCAGACCCCGCCCTGACTAGGCTTCTCCCAGGATGCTCTGCGCCGCCTCCCCGCCCTGCTGGCTGGACAGCCAGGGACACCGCCTGGAACCAGGCCAAAGGGCAGGTGCCACGGTGGCCGCCTAACCTTGGGGACAGCCCTGCCAGCTCCCGGTCCCTCCTGCGACATCCTGGGGGTCTCCATCCAGGCGGCACAGAGCAGGCAAAGGGCAGCAGGCCGCCGCCAGCCTCCCCAGGGCCCCTGACTCACACCCAGCTGGGCGGTCCACAGCAGGGGGTGGGAAAGGCCAGGAGGGGTCTGGGTGTGGGGGCGATGAGCTCAGCGTCTTCCTGGCCTGAGCTCCCCCAGGTGGGGGGCGGGGTCGGGTACCGGCAGTAGGAGGAGCACACAGAGGTGGATGAGCAAAGAGCCGGGCTTGGGGGAAGCCCAGTTCCCACACTCTGCGGGAGAGCAGCCAGGAAGGCAAAGGCCAGGCCGCCACTTTTGGGGGTCCTGGCTGTGACTTCTGGGAACTGGGATGTGCTGGTCAGCTGGAGGCAGGCCAGGGAGCAGGCTGTATGCAAATGAGCCCATTGCAAAAACAAGGGGGGGCATGCCCATAGCTGGCTGGGGCCAGCAAGCTGACAGAGGAGAGAAAGCTCAGCTCCTCGTGGGCCCCCGGGCTCCAGGTGGCCAGGCTGGATGTCAGCTTGCTGGGGGCCAGGTAACCTCCCGTGTGCACAGCAGTGGGTGGAGAACCTAGGTGTGGCCAGGGACAGCAGCGCGTGGTGGGGGAGGGTGCCCACAGGCTGTTCCCCTTGGTCCCCGCCCCTGAGGGCAGGCTGGTGCAGGGCGCAGGGCACAGGGCGCGAGGCAGAAGTATGGGGACGCCCCAGAAAAGGCCGGGCCCGGCTCTCACCTGGAGAAGGTGTTCCGGGCGTAGTGCATGATGCTGTCAAAGTCGTAGGTCTCCCCGAGGGACTCTACCTCCTGCACTTCCATCTTCAGGAAGTTATACTCCTGCCCTGCGGAGGCCAGGACAAGGGCGTGGGCGCAGGTCCTCCCTGTTCTGTCCAGCGGGAGGTGGGGGTGGGGCGGCGGGCAGAGCACCGGCTAGAGGGAAGGCCCGGGGGACATGGGAAGGAAGGACCCATCCCTAAGCCATGGCTGGGGAGGCGGTGAAGGGAAAGGCCTGAGACAGCCGTCGGGGCAGGGCAGCTGGACCCCAGCCCCTCCGAGAGGGGGGCCCGAGGGAGCCATGGTACCAGGCGTGTGACCACTGCCCAGCAAGCAGAGACGGGAATTCCGAGGTGACCGAGAGCTCCCACCCACGCCAGGGGACCCCAGGGCGGGCACAGGTGTGTACCTGGCTGGATGTTCTCCCGCACGATGGACACGTGGCGGTCCCGGTCCGGCCGCGTGTGCTCGTGCCAGAAGCCAATGACATGGCCCAGTTCGTGGACCACGATGCCGAACTTGTCACAGTTCTTGCCGATGGAGATGGCCTGGGGGCCCCCGCCGCGGCGACCCACGTAGGAGCAGCACCTGGAGGGCGGGGCCAGCTCAGGGGGGTGGTCCCGAGCTGGGGGAGTGCATCCACTCAGGGGCGGGGCCAGGCTGCAGGGGGTGGGCAGGGGGGCGGAGGGACGGGGAGGGCCTGAAGCCGATCCCAAGGCTGTGCCCGGGGTGGGACGCGGGTGGGGGCTGTGGCCCAGGGTGCGGTGCCCGGCGGTCCGTGCTCACCCGCAGGGTCGGTAGGTGAACACGATGTAGCTATCCTCATCGGTGCGCTCCAGGAAGGTGACACAGGTGTGCTTCTCCCAGTGCCTCATGGCTTGCCGGAAGACTGCCCGCTGGCTGCCTAGCAGAGGGGAACAAGCCAGGCTGTCACGGTGTCCCGCTGGGCCCTCCCTACCACGCCCCCCCCGCCCTGCTCCCGGAGTGCCTGTGGACCCCCAGGTCACCCCAGGCAAGCCCCAGGTGCAGGCTGGGGCCCCCCCACCCCAGTCCCATGCTCACCAGTGAAGTTGCTCCCAATAACAAAGGGGATGACCCCATCGGGCCACACGCGCTCCGGTCTGGAGGTGGCTGCCCGCCGGCTCCGGCTCCGGCTCCGGGCCCGGCCTCTCCATCTCCCACGGGTGTCCCTCTGAGGCTGCCCACGGGTGTTCTGGCAGGTGGTGGTGGAAGAATTTTCTGGAAGGCCGAAAGGAAGGGATTGGGGGGGGGAATGAAGGGGGGACGGGGAGGCTTCTGTACTGACACATTTGCCTGCTTGCTGAAAGTGATTTGTCACCGCAGGATCAATACTCTCAGGGCTTTCGGGGTCATTCGCAGACACGGGGAGCGCTGTGAGAACCAGAGTCGCCGCGCGTGCACGTGCCCGGTGGACACAGCGCCCTGCCGCGCCCGCTCTCTGTAAGCCAGGGTCTCTCTGGAAACGTATTTAGCGCCAGTCTTTCTCTTTTGCTGACGGTTCTGCCGTTCATAAGGCCCCCGGGCACAGGGCGGAAGGTCTGAATAGCGCCCCCCAAGGACCTGCAGGCCGCCGCGTGCCGTGCAGAGAACAACAGCGCGTTATATCAGCGCGTGCAACTTCAAGGGCTCAGTCCTGGCTAATTTGGCGTTCTCGGGGATGGCGTGTGCCACAGCCAAATAGCTCTGTAGCGCCCAGAGCGGCTCCCACAACTCGCCAGCACAACTCCAGCACGGTGGAGCCCGGAGCCCTCACCTGGGGCAGCTGAGGCTGGGAAAACGTCGCCTCTCGCCCTGTAACCCTCACCACCCAAGGTGTACACGGGGCTGTGCGTCCCCTTCGGTCCCCCAGAGTCTGGTTTCCACTGGACACGCCAGCTCTGTGGGATGCGGGCGAGCGCCGTTCTCCGCGAGTGGCCCAGGGAGAGAAGCTCGGGCCCCAGCTTTGCTCTGACTCACCTGGTGGACTGGGGGCAGAGCTCTCTGCGGGCTCTCAGCACCGCGTCCCAAGCCTGCGACGTGCCGCCGAGCAGCGACAAGGCTGGGAAGACCACCCGGCCCTACCCTCCCTGCTGCCACCCTCTCAGCCACACTCATGTGCTGGGTGGGTGGCGAGGGGCTTGGGCCACAACCAGGGATCTGAAGGACCTACCCGGGCCAGCTGCGAGGCAGACATGTAAAGGAATCATTGCATTACAGCGTGCTAGGCAGGACGCGGACAGCGTGGCCACAGGGATGCAGAGTGGTGCCGTGCTGCCCAGGGGACAGCTGGGGGGGAGGGGTCACAGGGGGGCGTCTCAGCTGGATGCGCAGAAGCCAGGAAGGGTGACAGGGCCGGGACAAGTGTTGCAGAGGAGGAATGAGAAGGCTTGGGGTCCAGCCCCAGTTCTGCCACGGGCCGGCTGTGGGACACTGGGCAAGTCACTATACCTCTTCGAGTCTCGGTTTCCGGACCTGACACGGCCCTTTGAAGCGGCGTGGGGACAGTGGAGTTACATAACACTCTTGAAGGTGCTTTGTGAACTGTCAGCAGGAATAATGTTGGTGTTCAGCTCCCGGCGATGCCTACACTGACCACTCCTCCTCCCAAGGGAAGACCCGCCCGGGTGCTGGGTTCAAGCTCACGGCCTCTGTCCTGGGAGGGCCTGGCCGGGAACAGGGAGGGCCCTTGTTTCCCCAAGTCTGCAACCGGTTTCTGGGCCAGCGAGGGCCGGACTGTCCCTGGCGTACCTGCGGCTCTGATGGAAGACGTGCGGGCCGCGCGTGGCGTCGCCCGGAAGGCCCACAGGTCCTCCTCATCCAGGGCGATGTCTCCGAGAAAGGCCGCTGGAGAGGAGAGAAGAGGCAGGGGCGTGGTTAATCCTCTGACCCAGCACCCCGCCGGTGGCTCCGGCCCCAGTCCCCACTGCACCCCGGGTCCCCAGAGGCCATCGGAGGAGGAAGAAGGGCAAGGAGGGCTGGGCTCTTGGAGTTTCTTGTTAAACCTCCAGCAGAGAGGGGGCGGGTGTTGGGCACAGAGTTAAGCACGTACTCGGGACACCACATCCCCTACTGGAGGGCCTGCTTCTGATTCCAGCTTCCTGCCAGTGTAGACCCTGGGAGACCACAAGTGATGGCTCAAGTCATTGGGTCCCTGCCACCCATGTGGGAGACCCACACTGAGTTCTGCGGTTCCTGGCTCTGGCCTGACCCAGCCCTGGCTGTCACAAGCATTTAGAGAAAAAAAAAAAAAAGACAGCAGATGGGAAATCTCTCCATGTCTTTCTCTTTCTTTCTCTCTGCCTTTTAAATAAAAATAACTAAATATATTTTTTAAAAAACTCAGCTAGGGCTGGAGCTCTGGCGCAGCAGGTAATGCCACCGCCTGTGACACCAGCATCCCATATGGATGCCAGTTCATGCCCGGCTGCTCCACTTCCGATCCAGCTCCCTGCTAACGCGCCTGGGAAAACCAGTGGAAGATGGTTCATGTGTTTGGGTCCCTGCACCCACGTGGGAGATGCAGATAAAACTCCTGGCTCCTGGCTCAGCCCTGGCCATTGCAGCCATCTAGGGAGTGAACCAGAGGATGGAAGATCTCTCTCTCTCCCTCTACCTCTCTATAATGCTGACTCTCAAATAAATAAAACTTAAGAAAAAAAAATCCTAGGCAAGCAGATGCCCAGCCCCTCGCAGACTGAATTCCACGAAGGCACAGTCAGGTCACTTGTTGCATCACGCTTGAGCCAATACTTACTTAGCCCCCGCGGGGGGCCAGGCACGGATCCAGGGACTGGCAAGAGCTGCCGGGGAACCAACCTCCAACCTTGCACACAAGTAAACAGATCCTGACCCAGAGAATCCCAGCTGCCAACGAGCACTCTGAAGAGAACGAAACCGGGGCAGATGGCAGCGTGGCTCCTCGTGGGCCCCCACCCTGGGCGCTGTGCTGAGCGTGCGATGTCCACGCAGCAGATGCAACCAAGGGGAGGGTGGGAAGTAAAACCGCAGGCCACACGGGCACGGGAGCAGACAGGCCTGTGCGGGAAACTGAGGCACGCCCTGGGAGCTTCCCAGCTGGGAGGAGAGGGCCCGGCGCCTCACAAGCCACTCGAATGCCAACCCCCAGAAATGTCCGCAGGGAAGCCTAGGAGGAGGACCGTCTCTGGAGCTAGGGAGGTCTATCTTCCTTGCGAGACGTCTGCAGTGTGAGAAGCAGAGGCCGTCGAAGCGGCTGCTTTTGGAAAAGGGCTCCACCCGCAGGGACAACTGCTTCCCATCCCGCCGAGCGCTGTTAACACACGGACTGTGTTAGCCCTGTGTTAAACCTGGACTTGCATCCAGGCTTCCCCTGCCCAGCTGGCCCCACTGGCCAGACACGGGCTGGGGGGGTGGTTTCCCACGGGCGTCTGGTTGCAGCCACACCTGTGCCATCCAGGCAGAGCTGCACAAGTCGGGCACGGACATCCCCACACACAGACCAGTGCCCACCAGTGCCTGGGTGGAAGGCACTGGATGAGCCGTGTGAATGAATGAAACACCACGCCGCCACGGACACCCTGCTCAACCAGACACGGATCAGCAGAACGTGGGACTGCCACGAGCCGTCCCCGAGCCCCCATCCACTCCACAGGGGGAAGAAACAGGCCCAGAGCCAAAATGGTTTTTAGTCAAGACTGCACGGCCAGTCGCTGGAAAGGCCGGGCTTATAAAACTCAAGCCTCCCCACTCCCCGGGCAGGGACCACTGCATTCAAGTCCATATCCTCTCCAGAACCCAACTGTAACTACATAAATGCAAGAATCGGCATGCACGGGGCCGGCGCTGTGGCACAGTGGGTGCAGCCACCACCTGCAGTGCCAGCATCCTGTATGGATGCCAGTTCAAGACCTGGCTGTTCTACATCTGATCCAGCTCCCTGCTGTGGCCCGGAAGTGCAGTGGAGGATGGCCCAAGTGCTTGGGTCCCTGCACCCGCGTGGGAGACTAGGAAGAAGCACCTGGCTCCTGGCTTCGGATCGGCACAGCGCCAGCCATAATGGCCATTTAGGGGGTTACCAACGGAAGGAAGGCCTTTCTCTCTGTCTCTCTTTCTCACTGGCTACGACTCTATCTGTCAAAAAAAAAAAAAACATATCCATATGTAAGCTCCAAACACACAAACCAAGCCCGATGCCCAGGAAGCCCGACAATGACACTTTACTGCTGAGGTCCGTGCAGCACTTTCTGGTTGACCAGGTGCTCTGCCATGACCGAGGGCATGGAATCCTAACCCTCCCCCCAGCCAGCCACAGTCTGCTGAGGGTCCCGACACCAATGCTGGGACAGAGGTGCAGACCGCACCCCACCCCCCGCCCTCCTTTTCCAAATCAATGCTTGCCCAGGAGGGGAAATGATTTGCTCAAGGCCCCCAGCTTGATGAGCAGCCGGTGGGTCAGCACAGAGGTACCACGAGGACGAGGGATGGGAGGCACTTGCAGATTCGTCCATGCCAACGTCTACCTCCCTGCACCACTGCTCGGACACTCACCTCCCCACTCCCACATCTACGCCACCCCTGGGTCCGGTCACCCCTCAGCATCCAAGAGGGCTGCTTCCAGGACTCCCCTCCCCCACATACCCCAATCCCCGGATGCTCAAGCCCCTCATGCAAAACAGTACCCTGTGTGCACAGAACCCACACGCATCTTCCCGTATGCACAAAACCGTCTCTGGTCGGGACACCGAACACCATGGCAATGCTTTGTAAATAGCTGTCACGCTGCAGGAGCAGGTGACAAAGCGAAAGGAAGGTCTGGATGTGTCCAGTACAGGAACAGAAAATTTTTTTTCCTATTTTCCATCCTTGGGCGGCTGAGTTTGCCGTTGTAGATGCCAGGGGGCGGTGGCTGGCCATTCGCAGCAGCCTCTGGGCTCCAGGGTCAGGCAGCCGGGCTGCCGCTCGCCGGCAAGCCGTGGAAACTCCATTAAGCCTCCACGGAGAGGGGCTAGGAACAGAGGAATGAGGCCCGCCCGGCGCCTGGAGCAGAGCGAGTACCCCCTACTGGGCCACTCTCCCAGTACCCCAACAACAGCGCCCAGAAGCTCCAGGCCGACGCACCCCCTTCTCAGGGCACACGGGGTCAGCTGCCCCTGTCCCCTGCTTGAGGCCACAGGCCAGCACAGACCTGTGGGTCCCAGGGCAGGCAGAGCACAGCTGGGAGCGGGCACCCCGTGGTGGGAATGTCATGGCCGAGGAATGCGTGGGAACAGGGTAGGGGTGGGGAGGGGTGGGCAGAGAGCCTGTGGCCAGGAGCTGGGCCTGAGGGATGAGGTCACCAGGGAATCTGGGTGCTGGGGGGGGTCCAGGATGCCCTCCTGACGCAAAGGAAAACCCCCGAGGTCAGGGCCAGGGCACTGATAATTCTCCACAGGGATTGAAGTTGCTCTCTGCTTCCCGGCAGTCAACGAGCCAGACAGGGGCACTCGTGGCTGCTCCACAGGAAGTGGAAAGCCACATCCCTGCGCCTGGCCTGGGAAGAACGTTTCCTCCTCCAGGCAGCCTCTGGACTCCAGCCTCTGCAGCCCTGGGCACGGCAGGGCATCGCCTCGCGGGGGCACAGGGCGAGCAGCCCAGCGGGTGCCCCTGTCCCACATGAGCACCCCTTCTAGCTGGGGAGGATGTGCCCTAGGCCTCGCGGACACACGAGGGCCTCACACTCACACCTACTGCACAGGTGAACAGGCGGGAGCGCACTCACACACTCGGCCCCGGCATCATCAAACCCGCAAAGGGCGGCAGGTGCACACACCTCTCTAGCCACACCCCCCAAAGACAGAAGGGCTTGGAAATGGCTGGGGGGGGGGGGGGGCGTGATGAGGGCCAGGCGCTGAGGCTCCCAGACTAAACTACTGGCTGAGACGCCCACGTGTTACATCAGAGAGCCCGGGTTTGAAGCCCTGATCCAGCTTCCTGATTGTGCGCACCCTGAAAGGGAGCCGGTGGTGGCTCGGGCGCCTAGTGGGTCCCTGTCACCCACACAGGAGACCCAGCTGGAGTTGCCGGGCTCCTGGCATTTGGGGAATGAACAGGAGTGAGAGACAAGAAGACTGAGAGACACACAGCGCGAGAGATTGGCTGCGGCCCCGGAGCAGCCCGTGTCACTGTCTCTCCGATGTCTCTTCCCCAGATCCATGGTGAAAGCGGAACTCTGCAGAGTGTCTGCTTCCCGGGAAGACCACCAGTCCCCTCATCCAGAGCCCAGGGCACTGTGTGGCTCTGCGTCCTCCCTCCAGGCACTGGGAGAGAAGCTGACTCAGGGGGGCAGGGCACGGTGGGCGGGTGACTCACTCGGCGCGTCTGCGAGGGGCTGTGCTCTGCGGAGAGCGGAGACGGCCTCCTGACCTCCGGGGCCTGCCTGCTCCGCCTCGCACACCCTCTGAGGGCCACGTCACTGGCTCTGGACCACGCGGGAATCCACCGTGGCCCACAGCCTGCCTCTGGGGGTCCTTCCCGGCTGGCCATCTGGAGCAGCCAAACAGGGCTGGGCATCACGGAGGCAGGACGCCCCCTCGAGTCTTGGCATCTTACCTGGAAGTCCCCCAGGTGAGGGAGAGGGGGGAGCAGGCTTGGGGGCCAGCTCTGAGCATACCCCCAGACCTCCCTGGCTTCCCATGCCTGGGACCCCTATGGGGGATCAAGGGTCTATACACCGCCCTCGCTGGGACAGTAACCGTACCTGGGACAGGAAGAACCAGACAGACTTCAAAGGAAGGGGACCTGGCTCTCCTTGGGACCCCTGAGAGGTCACAGGAAGCTGGGGGGGTGGTGATCTCATTCCAGGCCCTCAGAAGAGGAGAGAGCTGAGTGGGCAGAGGTCAGCTGGCAGACCAGTGCTGTCACCTGTTGCAGCCAGAGGTGCAGCCTGGGCACCCGTGTCTTGAGGGCAGGGCCATGGAATCTGTTAGAGAGCGGCACGTGTGTGCAGAAGCCTGGAACGCCTGTCCCAGCTTCCTCCAGGGGTGGCCAGCGGGTCAGATGCATCTGTCACACCCAAACGGGTTGCCTGCTGTGACCCTGCACTTGGCCTGCTCAGGCCCGGGACCGCTTGGCCACCCCCAGGCCTGGCCCAGCTCTGCGCCAGCCTCGCTTCACCCTGGTGGAGAGCCTGCTCCCCCGCCCTGCCTCGCTGGAAGCTCCAGTTCAGCTGGCCCCACCCTAGCATGAAATCTGAGACCGGGTCTAGAGCCCTCAGCCTCTTGCTGTTCCCCAAATCACTCCCATTTCCTAGCACAAGGGAAAGTCGTCAGAATGGCTTCCCACCCAGTTGTTTTTAAAAAAATATTTTATTTGTTAAAAGGCAGAGATACAGAGAGACAGACAGACAGAGATCTTCCATCCACTGGTTCACTTCCCCAAATGGCCACAATGGCCACAATGGCCAGGGCTGGGCCAGGGTGAAGCCAGGAGCTGCTTCCAGGTCTCCCATGTGGGTGACAGGAGCTGAAGCACTTGGGCCATCCTCTGCTGCTTTCCCAGGCACATTAACAGGGAGCCAGATGGGAAGTGGAGCAGCCGGGACTTGAACTGGCGCACACATAGGATGCTGGCCCTGCAGGCAGCAGCTTTATCCACTGCGCCACAACGCTGGCCCCTTTCAACCCGTTCCTTAAGGCCCTGACCCAGACTGTATCTGCCATGAAGACCTCATGATCCTTCTCAGTGCCCCCCACTGTGTGCGGCCCCCAGCCAGCTCCAGGGCCACAGAGGGGGCCAGAGGCACCCTGCCCGGAGACGCTGCCCACACGGGGGTCTGTGAGCTATGTCCCTGTGTGTCCTCCAAGGCTGGGGCCTGCCTTACCTGTCTCTGCCCCTCCCACGACAGGCATTCGTGGGGTGGGCTGAGCTTGAGGCCACAAGAGACAGAGATTTATTTTTTTTTCTTGGTCAGCTTTTGGAATACCTGCGTGTCCACAGGAGATACCTTGGGGTCGGGACTGATGAAGTTCCCGTGGGTTTCACTTACACCTTCTAACACGTGGCCAATTCAGACATCACTCTTGATAATTTGGGGCACGACACAAAGTCGCATGGTATGGAATCTTCCACCTGTGGCGTCCTACCAGCGCCCCCTCCCCCCCAGAAGTTTTGGCTCCTGGATTTTGGATTCGGGAGGCCCTCCCCGCAGATCGGCTGACGGCGATGAGTGACACAGGATGGGGACACTCTCCTTTCCTGAAGCCAAGCTCTGTCACATCCTCTCCAAAAATAACTGAAGTGACAGTCTGACGCGCAGCCAACAGGGGGTGGGAAGCCAACATTTATTTAGTACTTCCAGCATTCCTCCCACCGAGACACGGTTTCCTTTCCCAGGTGAGGTCGCTGGCGTCTGGGCAGCACAGGTGAGGTGCCCACTCGGGGCAGCCCCTCCGTAGCCAGTCCGGGACGCAGAGCCAGCACTGCCTGCCTCCCGTGCCCACGCTCCGTGCTCGCTGCCTCCCGCCCACCCCCTGGCGCCCAGCGAGAAAGAGGACAGCTCCCAGCTCCAGTCCAGCAGGTGTGGAGGAGGAAGGGCTGAGGGACTCGGCTTCTCCTTCCTCCCACTCGTGAGTCTCCTATTCCTGTCTGGGATCCACTTGCCCACAGAGGAGTACCAGGGCAGGGAGCACTTCGAACAGAGTCCCCGTGGGGTCAGGACCAGAGCGACCTGCCCCTCCCCCCCGCCCCGGTAGGCCCCTTGCACCCAACACACTAGGAATGGTGCCACTGCCCTGGCTCCAGCTAGTTCGTGACGGGCTCAAGTCTGAGCTACAGGCAGGAGGCAGAGGATCAGTTCTGCTATCTTGTCCCGCGTGTCCTGCTCATCGGACGGGACCCAAGTGACTGGCCACCCCATCGCTCCAGGGGAAGGACCCTTGTGGCCCGGGCAGGAGTGAAGTTGCACAGGGTCTCATGCACCCAGGACACACACACACACACACACACACACAGTGGGGCACACGGCTGCCCATCCACCTCTGGCGCACTGACACAGAAAAGTCAGGGTTCTCTTTGTGTTTCCCCGGCTCCCCACCCTACCCTGGGCCCGGGAGGGGCCTCAGGGCACGACAGGGGCAAAGGAAAGTCCCCCCCACCCCCGCCTGGGCTCCCTGCCTTTTTGACATCTGTCTCCTGCATTCCCCATAGGAAAGCTGCTGCCACTGGCACCACGCACGGGATACCCAAAGAGCCAGATCCCAAGGGACCCCTGGAAAAACTCCGTTCCTCCCGGTGGGCTGGGGTGGGGGTCCCGGGAGCCCTGCTCCCAGGAGATGCAGGCCTCCGAGCGAGAGGAGGGCAAGGGGGAAGGCACGCCTGGCACACACAGACACACAGACAGACACACGGTCTGGCCAGCAAAGTTGCTTGCAAAAGCCTCGGCTTCCCCGCCGGCTGCTTTCTCCCGGGACCCAGGAAGATTTCCCCGGGAATCCTCGCTGAGGACCGCGGGCAGCGGCAGCGGCTTCCACAAACTGCAGCAAAACTTCGCTCCTCAAAGTCCCCCAAACTTCCCCTCCCTCTCTCCCTCGCTCTTTTGTTCCCCACTGCATTGCCAACCAGGCAGCTCCCGGCTTCCCACACTGGACTGTCCCCCCCCCCCCACTCCAACCCCAAACCCTAAGCCCGCGCGCCCCGGACGCCCGCCCGCCCGCCCGCCCGCAGGGGGCCCGGGCCGGGGGGCGGCGCTTACCCGCCTTGCAGGGGTCTTTGTAGTTCAGGGGCTCCGGGTCGTCCTCCTCGCCCAGGTCATAGGTGTAGTCGGCCAAATCCAGCGGCCGGCCGGGGCGCGCGGGCAGCAGCAGCAGCAGCAGCAGCAGCAGCGGCGGCGGCGGTGGCGGCGGCGGGCGGGCCACGCCGGGCATGCTGGCGGCGCGGGGCGCGCGGGGCGCGCGGGGCGCGGGGCGGCGGTCGCCCGGCGCGGGAGCCGGCGGGAGGGAGGCGGCCGACGGCGGGCAGGGGAGGCGCTGCCCTCGGGCCGGCGCGCGCTCGCTCGCTCGCTCGCTCGCTCTCTCGCTCGCTCCCCCCGCGCCTCCCCTTCCCTCCTTCCTGTCTCCCGCCCCCCGCGCGCCGGCCGGCCGCCTCGCCCTCGCTCGCGGCCCGCTCCTCCGCGCCTCTCCCCGGCCTGCTCCCCTCTTTCTCTCTCGCCTTTTGCTCCCGCTTCGCCTCCCTCGCTCCCTCCTCCCCCCCCCCTTTTTAGGGAGAGGAGCCCGCTGGAGGGCGGGTTCTCGCCCGAGCCTGGCCCGCCTCGGGGCCGGGACTGTGCGGCCGGGCCGGGCCGGGCGGCGCGCCAGCCGGGGGCGGGGAAGGCGACGAGCCGCGCCGCCCCGGAGGGGGCTCGGGGCCGTCCGGGGCCCGGGAGGGGCGCGCGGCGCGGCAGCTCCGGGCAGGGGCCCCCTAGCGGCAGCTCTCCGGCCGGCGGGACACGCTGTCCGGTCGCTCACTCGCTCTCCCCCTGCCGCCTCCGGCCGCGGCGCCCTGCGCTCCGCTCCCGGACCCGCGCGCTCCCTCCTGTCGGTGGCCGTGGGGCTCGCCATCTCTCTGCCCTCCCCGGGTCTCGCCGTCCGTCCGGAGGCTCCACCTGGGGGCGCCTGGCGCCCGCGGACGGCTCGCGGATCGCGGCCCCACTGCCCCTTCTGCGTCGCCCCGGGGCGCACCCAGTCCCCCAGCCCTCGGGGACAGAGGCGGCCGGCCTGCGCGCGCGTCGCAGGACACGAATCCGAGCTTTGTTTTCAGTCAGCTTGCTTTATTCTCCTGTGGCGGGGGTCCCCCCCACCCCTGGGCCCTGGGGGCTGCCTCTCCCCGCAGCTCCGGTCGCCCACGGCCGGCCCTGGAGGTGCGGGCAGACGCAGCGTCCTGCCTCTTGGCGGAAGACCCTTCTGCTGGCGGGTCCCTCCTGACCCCCTCGGGGCTTCCGCAGACCCTGCGTGACAGGCAAAGGCACGTTGTCCTGTCTGGTGCCCGATGGAGAGGGAGAGGGAGTGAGCCTGGCTGGGTCCCCAGCGCCTGGTCCGCCGCAGGTGGCCGGTGGCCCAAGCCCTCCTCCACCTGCTCACCTGAGTCCTAGATGTAGATGAGAGGCACCTCCCCACACAGGGTGCTCACGGCTGCGCCCAGGAAGGCCAGCTCTCCTCCGGAGGACGCCGGGCCTGCGGCTGGCCCCTTGTCCTGGCCCCGCTGAGTGGGAGGCTCTGCAGGGTTGGCCTGGGAAGAATACCGACTTGGAGTCTGGGGACCCAGAGCCTGTCACACCTGCAGCCCTTATTGGTGGGACCTTAGGCAGGGCTGCGTGGGCTCAGCTGAGGCCATGCGCTTGGAGGAGGGGGAACAGGTAGGGGAGGCAGGTGCAGGTGAGGATGGAGAGGTGGGCACTCACTTGGGCATGCCTTACAGGTGACAAGTACCTTCATCATCTCAAGTGTGGCCTGGGAGGCAGACAGCCCCCACCCCTCACCCACACACCCACCTGGAATTTTCTAGCCAGAGCCTCCAGACTGGGGATGCTGTCTGGAGCCATCTTCATGAGGTAGCAGCAGGTTCCCGGGGCTGGCTTATAGGCGATCAGGAGCTGGGTGTGACATGCTACAGGTCAGTCAAGAGGCCCCCTGCCTCGCTCACTGCCTACCCCTGCGCTCACCCAGCCACTGGGTTGGACACAGGAGTCCTGTTGGAATCTGGGTTTCAGGCCTTCCCTCTACCCCCCACCCAGGGAGAGGGGGGAGAGGCAGATATGATGAAGCGGCACAGCCTGTGGCCCTAGGGGTGCAGGCAGCCTACCCGCTGGTAGTCGCAGGTGACAATGCCGGTGGAGCCGATGGGGAAAGTGGCCGTGGTGCCCACCCACTCGCTCAGTGCCAGGCGCTGCTGGACCTCCGGCGCCCCGATGCTCATCTCTAGGACCTGGGGGAGACGTTCCTGGCACTCCTGTCCCCCACTCCAGTGCCCATGGCCCCCTCCCCTCTCTTTACCCAGATGCAGTTTCTTTCTCTGCAGAGAGAGCTCAGGGGCCCGAGTGGAAGCCCAGGCCAGGTTGGCCCGCCCCCATCTCCGCCCCTCTCCCTCCACACTGCGCCCTGGCATTCCCCTGGCCCAGCCCACCCAGCTCCAGGGCAGCTTGCCCCCACCCTCACCCACCCGCTGCTCACCCCAGCCCCGCGCCTGCTCACCATCTCGGTGTGTTTCTGGCTCATGTGGAGCCCCATGAGCAGGGCCCCCACAATCACCACGACCACGAGGACCACCACGACGACCACAATGAGAAGACGTTTGAGGTGCACTGGGCAGCAGGGGATGCCGAAGCGGCCCCGGGGAGCTGCTGAGTAGTCCTGCCGGCAGGGGGCAGCAGTGAGACCCGTGCCAGCTGGACACCTCGGCCACACGCACACTCAGAAGGTTGGACCACCAAAGCCACATAGACGCACACACACACTCAGAGGGATAGACAGCCAAAGCCACACACGCGTGCTCACACAGACACACTCAGAGCCAACACCACACGTGCACACACCCACTCATACACATGCACCCAGAGGGATGGACAGCCAACGCCAATGCCACCCATGTGCAGGGGAGGGCTGTGACGACCAGAGGAGGCTCCCTGGAAGAAGTGACCTGGATTCTAGCAAACCCAAGGCCTCGTGTGCAGGGACCCAGGGTGGCCTGTTTGGCCAGGGCTCGTCTCCTGCTATTTCTCCGAATTCCCTGGCACCCAGCCATAGCCAGACCCTGTGTTCCACAGATGGCCCAGGCTCGCCTACACTGCCGTGCCTTCATCCACACTCCCCCACCTTCCTGCAAAGCCCTCCTGCTCTACCTGGACAGCTCCTCTGTATTTTCTGGCTCTACCTGCCTTCTCTCTGGAAGCTTCGTGCAACCCCCTGAGTACTCAGTGGCTCCTCCCTCCACTACCCTCTCCATTTTTTTAATAAAAGAGACCTTAGATTTGTGTTTAATGCTTTATTTATTTGTTTGAAAGGCAGAATTTCAGATTGATAGATAGATAGAGATCTCCCATCCATTGGTTCATTCCCCAGTGGCCCTGGGCTGATCCAGGCCAAAGCCAGAAGCCTGGAACTCCATCCAGATCTCTCACATGGGTGGCAGGGACACAAGTACTCGGGCCATCCTCCACTGCTCTCCCAGGCACATTAGCAGGGAGCTGGATCAGAAGCGGAACAGCCGAGACTTGAACCTGCGCCCATATGGGATGGTGGTGTCGCAGGTGATGCCTCAGCCTGCTGTGCCACGACGCTGGCCTCCCGGCCCACTCCACTGACCAGTCCCTGTGATGGCCGTCACCTCCTTATACTGGAATTATTGTCTCCCCCAGGGACTCTGTCTCAGTGGCCTTAAGAGTCCCCATCTTAACTAGGAGGGTGGAGGAGGCAGGGTCCCACACACACCTGCACACACGCGCGCTCCCATGCACTCACCGGTGGGCTCTCCATCAAGGCCTCTTTGCTGCCCATGTCCATCTTGCCACAGGTGCCCGCCTCTCCTCGCCTCCTGGGTATGACCAGGGCTTTATATGTGCTCGTGCGGAGAGAGGGCAGAGGTGAAGGACCGGGCCCCCTGTCTGCCAGCCAAGTCCTTGACTTTGAAGCCTGTTTGTTCCTGGCCCTCCAGAGCCAAGGCCCTGATAAGCCAGCTACAAGTGCCCCCAAGGGCCCTTGGCCCTGGCACGTGAGCTCCCTCTTCCCGCACGGCAGCGAGCCTGGGTGTGCCGAGCAAACTTGCCCCTCGGCCATCGGCAGCGCTCACCATGGGTGTCTCCTGGCCGGCCTGCCTGTCTTGCTGGCACCTGCCCTCGCAACCCTTGTTCTGCTGCCAGGCGGAACCACTCAGGCGGCCAAGGGTCTGACCGCCCGCCACACCTGCCAGCAGAATTTCTAGGGGTGAGTTCGGGGTAGGGGGCGGAGGAGCCAACATCAGCAGACCCTGAAAGGATTTAGGGTGGGGGCGCAGGAGGGCTCCTGGGTGTGCACTTCTCTGGGAGGGCCGGATTCCCGCTCTATGCATTCCGCCTCACACGTGGCCTGCCTGACCTCAGGCTAGCCCCCAGTCATTCTTTTCTGTTTGGAAACTCTGTGCCCGCCAGTGGAAAACTCTTACTCATGTGCACTGCTCCACTCTTTGCTAGATGGCAGACGCGGCTCCCTCAACCCCGACGGCCTTGCACAGGGCTGGGTGTGGTTACTGGCCGCCTCCCAGTCTCCCTGTTCTTAGCTGTGCCTGCTTGCTCCACACTGCCGATCATCGCCAACATCCGGCTGCACTCTGCATTTCATATTCTCTGGTCCCAAGGGCATTCCAGAGGGCTACTCACCCCACTCTGTCCCCTTTCTGACCTCGTCACCACCACCCCAAACCCAGCCGCCATTCTCCCTCTCCTACGTCCTTCCCCAAAGCCGTGGCCGTGGCTCACTCTCGGATCGGCCGCTGGCTTCGCGGGGGATGGTACCTTTCCGCCTGGGCTCCCCTTCCCTCTGGGAGCCAAGTGAGCTGGGAAGCCCCTTCACCTTGGAGCTGCCATGAGGGTGTCAACTCAGAGCCCAGCACCTCCCTCTCCCGGCCTCCTCTCCTTGAGCGTATCACTCCTAGCCCTGTCCCCTGCCTCACTCACACCACGACCCTGCCTTCAGGCCACCAGCTGGACCCTCCCCACTCTCCAGCCCTGGCACAAGGACCCTCTCTCCTCTCCAGGTTGCACAACAGCACAACCTCTGCTCTGAGGGCCCCTGAGCAGCCCCAGGAGGAGAGAGGAAAGGAAGTGTTTGCTCTCACCGCCTTCCTCACTCCCAAACGCCCCTTTAAATATTTGCCAAAGCCTCCGGCAGCCACAGAGGATCCCCCGATGGGTGAGAGGACAGAGGAGGAGGAGGGGGCACAGGGAGCAGGAAGAGACCAGCATCCTCCTCTCGGCTCAGCCTCAGCCGAGTGCAGGTGTCAGATGTAGGAGCCGGCCCAATGGCCGTGCCCACCCCTGCCTGCTCCCCAGAGCCCCCTCCGCCCGGTTGTCCTGGCAACGCTGGGATCAATGGCTGACTCAGGAGTACTGGGGCTGAGCCAGGTGGGCAGCTTGCCAGGGAGAGAGCCAGCAGGAGCAGCAGGCACCTAAGGGTCCCTGCAGGCATCCTGTGGGGGCCGTATCATCCAGCTGTGGGGCTTGTTCTGAGTGGGGGTTATCAGAAAGGGCTGCCAAAGTCACTGATTTTCTTGGAAAGCCTCGGCTCTCTCCTGGGTCCTCAACCTCCCCCCTCCCACCCCCCACAGGCCACCCATCCTTGGGCTGAGGTTCTTACAAGGTTCATGGCTATTTTAAACTCTTTCTTTCTGGGGACTGGTGCTATGGCATAGTGGGTAGAGCCACTGTCTGCAGTGCCAGCATCCCATATGGGCGCCAGTTCAAGTCCCAGCTGCTCCACTTCCCATCCAGCTCCCTGCTAATGAGCCTGGGAAAGCAGTAGTGGATGGCCCAAGAAGCTCCAAGTTCCTGGCTTCAGATCAGCCCAGCTCCAGTTGTGGACATTTGGGGGAGTGAAACAGCGAATGGAAGACCTCTCTCTCCTCTCTGCCTCTCTGTAACTCTGCCTTTCAAATAAGTAAATAAATCTTTTTTAAAAATTAAAATTTTGTTTTTCTTTTTGAAGATGCTCCATTTTGTTACATTTTATTTTCATGCTATTTGTAAAGCAGAGAAAGACAAAGATCTTCCATCCACCAATTCACTGTTCCCAAAAGCGCACATAGCAGCTGGGGCTGGACAAGGCCAAAGTTGGGAACTCAGAATCAAGCTGGGTTTTCCATGTGGGTGTTGGGGACTCAAGGACTCGAGCCATCACTTGCTGCCTCCCAGGGAGCATGTTAGCAGGAGGCTGGATCAAAAGCAGAGTAGCTGGGACTCAAACCCATGCTTTCAGATAAGGGACGCAGGCATGCCAAGCAGCTTGTTAACTCTGGGCCAAACACTGGCTCCTTCATGGCTTTTTAAAAGCACTCCCTGGGGGCCAGCACTGTGGCATAGTGGGTAAAGCTGCCATCTGCAGAGCCAGCATCCCTTATCGGTACTGGTTCAAGTCCTGGCTGCTACACTTCCAATCCCGCTCCCTGCTAATGTACCTGGGAAAGTAGCAGAGGATGGTGGTCCAAGTCCAAGACCTAGATGTAGCTCCTTGCTCTTGGCTTTGGCCTGGTCTAGTCTTGGCCATTGCAGCCATTTGGAGAGTGAACCAGCAGATCGAAGATTGATTTCTGTCTGTCTCTCTCTTTGTCTTTCTCTCTCTGTCTCTCTGTGTGTGTAACTTCACCTTTCAAATAAATAAATAAAGCTCTAAAAAAAAAAAAAAACCCTCACTGTTGCCTTCAAGTTTCACAAATGAAGTCTGGATGCTGGCACCAACCTGGTCTGGGTCTTGGGAGCCATGGAGGAGGGAGGGAGGGAGGCCCTCTAGGGTACCCCCAGACCGGCCCCTGTTACAGTCTTCTCATCTCCTGGCCCTGACTGAAGCCAGCCCCAGTACCTCTCTCTGAACTCACCTGTGGCTCTGTGCCCACACCTTGGCCGCAGTGACCTTTCTCTGAAACCCTGCACACACGCCGCTGTTCGTCGGCTCCATGGGGCCTGGGGGGCCCTGTCTCCCCGCCCCGGGAAGGAAGGCTGCACGCTGGCCCTGGGCTCCCGGGAACCTGCCACAGCGCCGGGAGCATGCACATGGCACACACTTCTCGAGGCGCAGCGACAGGACTCCTGCTGGATCCGCCATGCCTCCCGCCTTCAGTACCTGGCGGTCTTGATGCTTCTGCTGACCCAGAACAAGTCACCCCGCTTCTCAAGGCCTTAGTGTGTTCATCTGTGAAATGGGACCAGTGCTGCCTGTCCCATCCACACCAGCGACATCACGGGCGCGCCACTCCAGTTGGCATTGTGCTTATCATCTCCATCATCTATCTCATCTCCCAGAGCCCCCCTTCCCGGCTAAGCATGGGCCCTGGACTCCCCACCTTTTGCCCGCCTGGGTTCCCCCAGGAAGCATGGGTGATGGTAGCCACCCCTTCTGTGTGTGCCTCCCCTGGCCTCCTCCCCGGCCCCTCAGCTGCAGGGAACGGGGTAAGACGCTCTCACTCTTTCCTTTGTGTGCTGGGCAGGGCCGTGCCAGGGACGGTGGGGACAGTTGCTCAGCTGCCCCGGCCACCCTCCCCTCCCCCACTGCTTCGCTTCCCAGGGGCTGGCGTGGGGAGGGCGGCACAGGCAGCTGGACAGGCAGTGACGAGTGGGCATCAAAGGGCAGGGCAGGGGCAGGGGCATCCCTGCCTGGGAGAATGTGGGCTTGAGCTCAGGTCTGTGAACCCTCTGCTGGCAAAAGCTGCTGACAGCTGGAGCCGCAGCATGAGCCGGCAGACTCCAGGCCCTGGACTAATGGGGAAAGGGCACGCACTGGACACGCAGGAAGCTGCCCCCCAGGGCCCCCTCGCCCCGCACCTATGAGCCCCCCGGCCCAGTCACCTCCTCCCCTGGGAGGTGACATAACAAGGAGCAGTAGTCCTCAAAGGCTTTGGTTCCGGGATCCCTTAGCACCCTTAAAAAGTATTGAGGCTCCTTCTATGTGGGTTCTAGCTGGTGTTATTGACCACTTTAATATTTGCTGAAAATATCAATAAACCCATCCTGTCTGGATTAGAACATAAGTCACACCCGCTTATAAAGGAAAAGAACTTATTTTTTACAAAGCAAAACAAGGAAATGTGAGGAGTGGATTGTTTGACACTCTTGCAAATCACTTTTCATTTCAGACTGAACAGAAGACTCACCCTGTAGCTTCTGGAACATTCCAGGGGACTTCCAGAGGGCCCGCCAAGTGACAAGGACAAACAACCTTGTCACATTGATTTAGGAAAATCGTTTGAGCTCAGAGGCTGCCTGAAAATATCTCGGGGACCCCTGGTCTCCCAGGGACCCGCTTGGAAGACCCGAGCATGGCTGTGAGCTTGACTCATCACAGTCACTTTCAGCTCCTGGTGCTGGGACCTCCCCTCTCTTACCTGGGCAAAGGGTTCACACCTCCTCCCTGTGGAGGCTGACAGCGGTAAGTACCTAGGCAGAGCACACAGCACGGCAGGGGTGGGGGGTGGGGGTCGTCACCAAGCCCTGCTCCACTCCTCTTCCCCACATTCCCAGTTTCTGCATTTGTTAAGCCCGGGTTGGACTGGAAAGGAGCCAAGGCCCTCCCTAGCCCCAACAGGCAGCAGCTGTGTGGTGAGAAATGTCCCAGAATTCCGCAGATTCCACCTCTGCCCCACTGGCTGCATCCCTCTCTCAGCTGGGCAGACACAAAGGCCCATTCTGCTGGTAGCTGTGGAAACACGTGAATACACATGTCAGCACTGCCAGACTGGGTACACCCTCGTGCTTCTGGTCCCGCACCCCAGTCAACCTGGGTGTACACGTGTCGCTCACAACATGCCCCGGTCACATCCACGGATACACAGGGCAGGTGCACCCCAGGGGCCCCAAGTGTCCGTTGGCGACCCTGCGCGTGTGTTCTGCAGGGCCAGGTGTGCACAGTCATGCCCAACCCACGTGGGCACAGGAACGCCTCCCACGCGTGCACCACGCACGGACGCCCCGGCTGCCAGGCACAAGCCCATGGCTCGGGAGATCGCTTGCTCAGACGGGCACATAGCGGCGGCGGCGCTACCACCCCGTGCGTCGACGGCTCCCGGGCCCCGGGCCTGCCGCCTCCGCCCCCGTGCGCGCCCCCGCCGCCGCGCCGCAGTCCGCGTCCACCCGCCCGGTCAGCCCTGGGCTGCAGCTCCGGGCTCCGCGCGTCTCTCCCGAGCCGCGCGCGGGAGCGAGCAGGGGAGGGGACCGCAGTCGGCGGAGTTCATTCTGCGCCAGCCGGCAGGCGGCCCCTAGCTGCGGCAGCTGCCGGTGGCCCGGAGGTGCCAGCCCGCGCGGGTGGCCCTGCCCGCGGGGAGCCGGAGGGAGCGCTTGCAGGCAGGCGGCATGGCGGGGCTGCGGGCCCGCTGGGGCCCCGCGCCGGGGCTGCTGGCGCTGTCGGTGCTGGGCTTCTACCTAATGCTCCAAGTCAGTTCCAAGAGGCCCCCCAAGACGCCCCCCTGCCCGCCTAGCTGCTCCTGCACCCGGGACACCGCCTTCTGTGTGGACTCAAAGGCAGTTCCCAGGAGCCTGCCCTCCGAGGTCATCTCCCTGTGAGTGTCCCCTTGGCCTGGAGGGGTAGGGGTGGGGGTTGGGGAGTAAGGCCAGAAGCCCTGCTCTCTCTTCAGAGTCTGGGCACCAGGGGGACTCCCGGGGCCGGGCGAGGGTGGGAGTTCTTGGGGGGGAGGTTGCAGATGCCTGGCAGGGGTTTCTGCGGTCGGCGGGCGGGAGCAGTGGCCACGGCAGGGGTCCCACCAAGTCCCATCACCACCATCCGCATCAACGAGACCTACTGTGCGTGGTGCTGATGCTGGGGTGTTTACAGGAGCCTGTGGGGCCCTGCCTGTGATGTCACTCCAAGGGCAGAAAGGCCCCTTGTTGGAGCTGGGAGGGCGGCAGCGGGTGGGGTGGGGTGGGGTGGGGGGGAGGGGTGGGAAGTAGCCTGGCACCGGCCAGCCGCTGTGCACCCGGCCAGGCCAGCCTGCCACTTCAGCAGGCTGCTCCAGGGCCCCCCACGCTTGCCGGAGGGACCAGAGGAGCCCTCCCCCACCCCTTGGCAGCACACGGCACTTTGCACGGTGACGAAAGTGCGGGTGATGGAGACTTCCTTGAGCTGAGAGGCCCAGGGGCTGCTGCTGCTGGGGGTGGCAGTGGCGGGGCGGAGAAAAGGGAAGTGGAGGCCAGCAGCCCCTGCCCTCAGCCCCACCCAGTCCCTGCAGACCACCCCCCTCCAGTACCGACGCGTGTCCCCTGCAGGACCCTGGTGAACGCCGCCTTCTCCGAGATCCAGGACGGAGCCTTCTCGCACCTGCCGTTGCTGCAGTTCTTGTATGCACTGAGCCGTGCCGAGGAAGCCAGGGCGGGTGGGGCAGGGAGGCGGGAAAGAGCCAGGGAGAGGAAGAGCAGAGGGAATGGAAACGGAGGTGCAGGTGGCCCCTGCTTTTGCCTGGATAGGGGTACCCCCCAGAGGGCGGAGCAGCCTGCAGTCAGGAGGAGGGGTCGGGCAGAGTGGGAGAGGAGAGGGGTGAACCGCGTGCCTGAGCCCAGAAGGGGCTGTGCAGGGCGGGACAGGGCCTCTCTGGACTCTCAAGGGAATCGGGGGCGATAGCTTGGGCCACCACCAGAGGGGACACTGGGCGGCAAAGGGGGCATCTTAGAGACAGGCCAGCCCAGGGACCACGACTTGAAGAAGGAGCAGGGAGCAGAGAGGGAGGGAGGGCAGGAGTTGCTGGCCTGGGTCAGGGTGAGGGTGGGGACACAGGAGGCGCCAGAGATGCCTGCTCGATTATTTTTAGGAGCAAACAAGGACCCTGGGCGGGGAGGGGGGTCTTGGCTGATCTTGCTGCTCAGGGCCTCAGGGGTCCCCACTCCCACTGCAGGGGGTCAGCCAGGTTCTGGTGGGGCGAGGCAGCAGGCTGGGGCCTGGGGTGTGCCCTTGGCAGCTCTGATCCTACCTTTGTCTCCCCAGGTTACTCAACTCCAACAAGTTCACGCTGATCGGAGACAACGCCTTCACGGGACTGTCACACCTGCAGTACCTGTGCGTGGGAGGAAGAGAGAGGGGTGATGGGAAGATGGAGGGGACAGGCGGGGTGGGCTGAGGGGGCTGAGAGCCGGGGTGCAGTGAGAAGGCTGGGGAGGCCATGGGAGGTGAGAGCCCTCGAACCCTCTGCAGGACCCCAGCGGAGGGTCATTCTGTCCACCCCCCTGCCTGCATGGGCCTGCTGATGCCCTACCCCACTGCAGCCAGATGATGGTCAGGGACACAGGCCGCACCCTAAGCTGGGATGCAGGGGGAATTCCCGTCTGGGGGGCCTGAGGCAGGTTCTCCTTTTCTTTAGCTTCATTGAGAACAATGACATCTGGGCGCTGTCCAAGTTCACCTTCAGAGGGCTGAAGTCCTTGACACACCTGTGAGTACCGCACCCAGCAGACCGAAGCCTCCTGTCTCTGTGGCCTAGGCTGCAGGCACGACTTTGGGGTGACCCAGGGGTCTCTCTTGCAGCTCGCTGGCCAATAACAACTTGCAAACACTGCCCAGAGACATCTTCCGGCCCCTGGACATCCTGAGTGACTTGTAAGGCCTGAGTCCAGTTGTCTGGAGGGAGGGGGTGGGAGTCGGAAGTGGGATAACCCTAGGACTTTGGAAAGAAGGTAGGGCTTGGGTTTGGGGGGCCACAGAGAAGTTGGGGTCAGGTTAGGTATAGGCAGCTGTCTTCTAGGTTGGGGTTGTTCGAGACAGCCATGGATCTGGTCCAGATGCACAAGACACTGTGTGTGTGTGCATTGCAAAAACTCACGGTCATTCAAGCTATGTCTGATTTGAATTGACACTGGAGTCCTATGGCATAGCCAGAATCATCATCCTTATTTATATGAGAACATAAAAGTCTCGGTTGGTGGGGGGTTTGAAGGAACAGGGATGCAGGTTGTGCACTGCAAAAGGTCTATGACCAAGCCTTCACGCTTCGGGCTGTGTCGCCCCCATGGGGAACCTCCCCCTGCTGAGCCGCCTCCGCCAATCTGCTTCTGAGACCAGGGTGGGCAGAGTGGCTGAGAGCCTGCCCCTGTGTGTGTGTGTGTGTGTGTGTGTGTGTGTGTGTGTGTGTGTGTCGCGATCCAGGGACCTACGAGGCAACGCCCTCAACTGCGACTGCAAGGTGAAGTGGCTGGTGGAGTGGCTGGCGCACACCAACACCACCGTGGCCCCCATCTACTGCGCCAGCCCACCCCGCTTCCAGGAGCACAAGGTGCAGGACCTGCCGCTGCGGGAGTTTGACTGCATCACCACGGGTAGGAGGGGCCCTGCCTCGGGCATCGGCCAGGTTACTCCCCACCCCCACCACTCTGCAGGCGCTGCCCAGCCCCTCTGGAAAGCCCCAGCCTCAGCCAGGCAACCTGCCCCGCCCAGCAGGCTCCTCCCTCCCTCCCCGCCCCCGGTCCCAAGCTGCACCTGCCGACTCACCTCTGGTCCCGCAGATTTCGTGCTGTACCAGACCCTGTCCTTCCCAGCCGTCTCGGCCGAGCCCTTCCTCTACGCCAGTGATCTCTATCTGGCCCTGGCCCAGCCCGGCGCCAGTGCCTGCGCCATCCTGAAATGGGACTACGTCGAGCGGCAGCTCCGAGGCTACGACAGGATCCCAGGTACCTGAGTCTCACGCGGCTGCGTTGGCCTAGCTGGGGGCGTGGGGGAGTGGGCACCATTGTTCAACCCTGTTGAGTTCGTATGGGGCAGAGGTAGAGGAGAGGAGCTGCACCCCCGCCCACAGGAACTTTCTAGTCTACACGGATGACCCAACAGACAGCAGCTAGGGGGAGGCATGGATGTAGCACGAGATGGGGGCCTACCCAGGGCCATCAGGGAAGGCTTCCTGGTGGAAGGGGTACCTAAGCTGAAGTGCGGAATCCTAAGGGAGAGGGGAGAGGGGAGAGTCAGAGGTGATGCGCAGGTTCTGGTTTAAATAGCCAGGGAAATTCAGGAGGAGACGGGAGTGGCTATAGTCGTGAGGGCTGAGGGAGACCCAGCTAGAAGAGAATAAGGAGAAAGGATGTGGCGTGCACACAGAGTCAGGAGGTGTGCGACCGTGTGGGGGTGTGTGTGCACATGCATGAGTGTGCATGAGCCATATGCAGCCCAGGGGCCACAGCATGAGATTCTGGGTGTGGAATGCAAATGAGACCAGGGACTGATGAGTACATCAACTATTGTGGTCTACAGTTTTTTAAAAAAATTTATTTATTTATTTGAAAGGCAGAGTTACAGAAACAGAGGGAGGGACAGAGAAAGATATTTCCATCTGCTGGTTCACTCACCAAATGACCAAAGCCTGAAGCCTGGAACTCCATCCAGGTCTCCCACGTGGGTGGCAGGGGCCCAAGCACTTGGGCCATCTTCCGATGCTGTCTGAGGTGCATTAACCAGGAGCTGGATTGGAAATGGAGCAGCCGGAACTTCAACTTGAACTGTTGCTCCTGTGGGATGAGGGCAGATGCTCAACCCATCACAGCACCTTGGCCCTCGTCCCTGTTTTAGAACACTTCCTGCTGGAGCAGCAGACACAGTGGGGATGGGGGAGAGATTGAGAAAGGAGTGAGCTGACCCACGACGAAATAGAAAGCTTGCATTGCCCTGACGTATTAGAGAATTTGACTTCAGCATAGAAAACCTTCCCCGGCCGGTGCCGCGGCTCAATAGGCTAATCCTCCGCCTGCAGCACCGGCACCCCAGGTTCTAGTCCCGGTTAGGGCGCCGGATTCTGTCCTGGTTGCCCCTCTTCCAGTCCAGCTCTCTGCTGTGGCCCAGGAGTGCAGTGGAGGATGGCCCAAGTGCTTGAGCCCCTACACCCGCATGGGAGACCAAGAGGAAGCACCTGGCTCCTGGCTTTGAAACGACACAGTGCCAGCTGTAGCGGCCATTTGGGGGGTGAACCAATGGAAGGAAGACCTTTCTCTCTCTCTCTCTCTCTCTCACTGTCTATCTCTATCTGTCAAAAAAAAATTTTAAAGATAAGCTTATTTTTGTGCAAAAAAATGTTTGAAATCCAGGTCTAAAGGGGGTCTTTAAAAGGTTGTGGAAAATGCATATTGTGAAAATAAACTGTTTGTGGATTTCAACAACTGTTTGCACCAAAATAAACCTCTTGAACCCCATTTTCAGGAACTTTCTGAGGGCTCTTTGTGCACATTCTTGTACAGCAAGGTCCTTCTGGGAGTCGGAACTCTGGGGAAAGGTCTTCATGCACTCCTGTGCCTGGGGTGTCCCTGAGTCTCATCCACCTGCGGGTGTGCTCCAATCCCCCCCCCCCGCTTGGTCACCTGCTGGCAGGCTAGCTTGGGCCAGGCTAAATGGACAAATAATAGGGTAGGCACTTGGGACACTCAGCATCCTGTATTGGAGAGTCTGAGTCCGAGGGTGGCTCTGCTCCCGTGCCAGCTTCCTGCTGGTGCAGACCACAGGAGGCAGCAGGGGATGGTGGTTCAAGCACACGGGTCCCTGTCTGCATTGAGCTTCCGGCTCCATTGCGGTCATGTGGGGAATGAGCTGGTGCATGGAGATCTCACTCTGTCCTCATCACTGTCAAATAAAACACTTTTTATAATTATTTTATTTACTTGAAAGAGTTACAGAGAGAGGTAGAGCCAGAGAGAGAGAGAGAGAGAGAGAGAGAGGTCTTCCATTCAGCTGGTTCACTCTCCGAATGACTGCAACAGCCAGAGCTGAGCTGATCCGAAGCCAGGAGCCAGGAGCTTCTTCCAGGTCTCCCACATGGGTGCACGGGCCCAAGGCTTTGGGCCGCTTTCTACTGCTTTCCCAGGCCATAGCAGAGAGCTGGGGCAGAAGAGGAGTAGCCGGGACTCAAACCGGCGCCCATATTGGATGCCAGCACTGCAGGCTGGGGCTTTACCCACTACACCACAGCGCTGGCCCCTCAAATAAAATAAATTTAAAAAACATTTTTAAAACAAAATAAAATTAGCAGGGTCCCTTTCAGTGTGATGAGCAGAGGTAACACTTGCTGAGAGTACGGTGGCTGCCCACGCTGAAGATCCAGTGGCTGGCAGCAGGATTCAGCAGTGGGTCACTGCCCAGGGACACTGACCTGGGCTCTTCCCATTGCGTCCTGGGGCTGGGGCAGGGGCAGAGCCAGGGTGATGCTGAAACCGCTGACTCACCGTGAGACAGGGTCACGGAGTGCTCAGGGGTGGAGATCAAGGTGGGTGCAGAGCCCGGGGCTGGAGGGGACCTATGTGCTTCTGTGAGCAGGTGGGATGCGGGGTGGGAGGGAGGGCAGCTGGCGGCCAGTCTGACCCCCCCGCCGCGGCCTGGCCGCCTGCCTCCGTCCCGGCAGCCCCCTCGGCCGTGCACTGCAAGCCCATGGTGGTGGACGGCCAGCTGTACGTGGTCGTGGCCCAGCTGTTCGGCGGCTCCTACATTTACCACTGGGATCCCAACACCACGCGCTTCAGCAAGCTGCAGGACATCGACCCGCAACGTGTGCGCAAGCCCAATGACCTGGAGGCCTTCCGCATCGATGGCGACTGGTACTTCGCCGTGGCCGACAGCTCCAAGGCGGGCGCCACCAGCCTCTACCGCTGGCACCAGAACGGCTTCTACTCCCACCAGGCCCTGCACCCCTGGCACCGCGACACGGACCTGGAGTTCGTGGATGGCGAGGGCAAGCCGCGGCTGATCGTGTCCAGCAGCTCCCAGGCGCCCGTCATCTACCAGTGGAGTCGCACCCAGAAGCAGTTTGTGGCCCAGGGGGAAGTGACCCAGGTGCCTGACGCCCAGGCCGTGAAGCACTTCCGGGCGGGCCGTGAGAGCTACCTGTGCCTGAGCCGCTACATCGGCGACTCCAAGATCCTGCGCTGGGAGGGCACGCGCTTCTCCGAGGTGCAGGCCCTACCCTCCCGGGGCTCCCTGGCCCTGCAGCCCTTCCTGGTGGGTGGCCGCCGCTACCTGGCGCTGGGCAGCGACTTCTCTTTCACCCAGATCTACCAGTGGGACGAGGGGCGACAGAAGTTCGTACGATTCCAGGAGCTGGCCGTGCAGGCCCCCCGGGCCTTCTGCTACATGCCTGCTGGAGACGCCCAGCTGCTCCTGGCCCCCAGCTTCAAGGGACAGACGCTGGTGTACCGACACGTGGTGGTGGACCTCAGTGCCTAGCAGGTGCCGAGGCCACTTGGGCTTCCCCCCACCCCGGGGCGGGCGCCTCTCTGAGGGCGGCAGGTGCACCCAGGCGAAGACACATGGGGCTAGCAGCTGTGTCCGTGCCTTTGACGTGCGCACACTTGGGCGCGCACGGGCTGGCGTGTGGACTGGCCCCGGGGGGCAGCGCTCATCATCCTGCAATCAGCATGACACTTGTATATGCACCGGGCACTGCGTGCTCCGGTGGGGTCACCTGTGGCCCCCAACATCCGCAGGGTCCCCTCGCTCCCCTCCCCCCACCCCCACCCCCGAGGATGTTAGTGGTGCGGGCGGGGTGCTGGGTCGGAGGACCCTGAGCGGCACCCTCCTGCTCTGCTGTGCGTCCTGCGGACCCTCTGGCCTTTCCTATTGGTGCTCCAGGTGTCTCACCTGCTCAGCCTCCATGTTGCAGGCCCCCCCAGCCTCCTCGGTCACGCTTCTAGGCACCCTGGCTGTGCGCTGCCCCTTCTGCCTGCGGTTGCGGAAGAAGGCAGACGGGCTCAGTCTCGCTCTCCTACACGCGTCCTCCGCTCCCATCTCCACGAGTCACTGCGCATTGAGGGGTGTGTGCACATGCGCAGAACTGCCGCTGCCGCCGGGGGGGCTCCCCGCCGCATCACCTTGCCTCTTCCTGCAGGGGGGCCCACGGTGTCCCTCGCTCCTCCTCGCCCACCCCTCAGCGTGCCTCCTCTGCTACTACTCGGGATGGCAAGGGCGGTGCCAGCCCGGCCTCCTGGGAGCAAAGCCCCCTGGCCCAAAGCAATAATAGTAATAGATGTAGCACAGCCCCGCTTCTCCCCAGCTGTGTCTCCCTGTTCTCCCTGGAGGTTCCCCTGACCCTGAGCCCCAGCCCACCGTGGATCCAACTCCATCCAGACGAAGCCTGTTTCTCCTCCTGTCACTGTCGCCTCCTTGGGCTCCGACTACCCCCTGGGACTGGACCCCTGGGCTGTGGCTACACAAACCTAGAAGAGTCAGGGAACCAGCACGCACCTGAGCCACCTGTGCAGGTGCAGGAGGAGTGTATGGCTGGAGAACACCTTGGGGGCCCCAGCTCCCTTCCAGCCCAGAGGCGCACCCAGGGGCACTGCCTCTCCAGGAAGGCTGAGCCTGAGCCGCCTGCCAGGAGCCTGCGAAGGCGCAGGTGGGAGCCCAGCGTCTGCTGCCCCCTGCTGAGCGCTGGGGCGCACTGCCCTGGGATGCGAGGCGGGAGCAGCAGGGGCACCTCCCTCCCTGGTGCCCAGATTGTGTGGGGCTCCGTGTGCAAGGGTATCCCGGGCCACTTGGGGGGGGGGGGCAATGCTGTGACTCACCTGCTTCAAATAAAAAGCTCCACCCCCTTCCTGACTCTCAGATGTCATCAGGGTGTCTCGTTAAGGACGGAGCAGGGCGGCTGCACAGAAGGGGCCGTATGACTTCCAGACCCTCCCACTCCTCCTGGCCCCTTTCCCGGGGGGAGCAGTGGGTAGCCCCAAGGCTGGCTGGCCCTCGGGTCAGGAGTTCATGGTGATGACACTTGGGTGCTGAGCCAGGGTGACTCGTCTTCACCACCTAGGGCTGACTCACTGCCCCCCCAACCCCGTGATCCTGGGGACTGCCCCATTACCTGAGTCTGTCCATCAGCGGGGCCAAGACCAACCCAGCGGTCCCACCTGTCATCCCTGCCCCGACCTCTGCAGGCTGCCCAGCTGGGGCAGCTTCACAGGTCCTGTCCCCATTCTCCCTCTCCATTCTGCATCCCAACGCTATTTCCACATGGGTGCTGTTCTCTGTCCCTTCTCTGCCACAAGCTTTGTCCAAACCCTCCCTCGCCACTCATTGTCTCAGGCCTTCTTGGATGTCATCCCGCCAACCTGCTTCTCACGCCCTTCTCGTGTGGCTGTAAAACATCTTTCCATTACACCACCCCCAGCCCAGGAACCCGCCTCCACACCCTTGTTCTGCAACAAGTCCACGCCCCTCTGCCCAGCATTAATGTCCCACTGTATGCGTCCAGGGCCCCTTACCATCTCCAACGACGATGGAGGTTAAGACAGCTGGGGATAAAAGGGGAGGGAGGGAGGAGTCAGATGGGGGCTGTCATGGGAATCCAGCCTACGAGCCATCTTTTCATGGGAAATACATATGAGAAAACTGTGCATGCATTTCACATTTTGCATGCATCCAAATAGATGTATCATTTAATTCCATTTTCCCACAAACATTTTCTAAGATCTGCGTGTGAGTAGCGGAGGTCTTGGGAAAAGCACACAGGCATTGTCTGGCAAAACAGGGGCATTGTGCATGGTCCCTCCCTCTCCACCCAAGGACTTGAGCACGTGGAAAGCTGAGCCAGTGACAGGATGGGGAAATGATAACCCCTCAGGCAGGGGTGCCCCGCTGGGTGACCCGGGGCAGGTCACTTTCCCTCTCTGGGCCCCCAGGGACCCTTTCCATTTTCAGGTGTCATTTGCCATGTGGCAAGCACCTGTGAGCAGTGCTGCACAGGGGAAGGAGACTCGAGGTGACAGCCCGGGGGTCACTCTGTTCACATGCTGTGCAGTGGCTGTCACGCTGCGCTCTGGGGTCTAGCTTGTGAGCATGTGGACTTAGGCTTGGCCCCTTCACTTCATGTGAGATCTCAAGGCAGGTCAGCCCTTATGCAAAGCAGATAACAAAACCCATTTTCTGGAGTCCTGATTCTACCAGCTCACTAGCTCCTGACACTTAGCCTATGTGGGTCTCAGTTTCTCCACCTACGAGATGGGTATAATCATGGGATCTACTGGACAGCATCATTCATCACGAGATTTAAGGGCGTTGAATACATATCCATATATGGGAGCCCTTTAGAATAGTGTGCCTGGCACATAATGTGACTCCTATTGGTCCATGGGAAGCTAGGAGGTGCAGAGGCACACAGAGAGGGCAGCTTTGTGGGAGTGGACAGAGGAGCGGCCAGCTGCGGGCAGGGGCTCCTCGCCCCTCCCCAGTCTCAGAGCCTGCGAGCTTTACGTCCTCTCTGGCCTCAGATGCCAGCCAGCCTGCCCTGAACCACTCCTCGTGAGCGGGTGTCTGCTCTGGGTCGCTGCCTCCTTCTACCTCATTCATGTGCTCTCGGCTTCGCAGGCACCCCTCAGTCTTCCCATCCTGGGAACGCCTGCACTGTGGCGTAGTGGGCTAAGCCTCTGCCTGCCGACCGGAACCCATACTGGTGCCGGTTCAAATCCCAGCTGCTCCACTTCTGATCCAGCTCTCTGCTATGGCCGGGAAAAGCAGTAGAAGATGGCCCAAGTCCTTAGGTCCCTGCACCCATGTGGGGAACCTGGAAGAAGTTCCTGGCTCCTGGCTTCGGACTGGCCCAGCTCTGGCCATTATAGCCTTCTGGAGAGTGAACTGGCTGATGGAAGACTTCTCTCTCTGTCTCTCCCTCTATCTGTAGCCCTACCTCTCAAATAAAATGAATAAAAAATAAAATCTTAAAAAAGCAGGGTTAACAGGCTCCCGGCCTGTGTGCAAGAAAGGTTGCCAGGGACAGTGGGCTGAGTGTCCCAGACATGGCGGCATGTGCTGTCCCAGGGAGAGAGAAAACCGGGAGCTCCTCCAGTGGCTGGGAGGCTCCGTCTCTCCCTTGACCTCTGCATGCCCAGCTTGGGCCTGGCTGCCTTGGTCACCTGCCCTGGAGCTCATCCCTGTGTCCAGAGAGCTGCTTAGCAACCCTGTGGAACCAAGCCACTGTGTCAACAGCTCAAGGGCAAAGGCCACACCACTGCCCAGGAGGAGGTGACGGTCCCCAGTCCCCTGCAGCCAGCCTCACGCTGTTCCGTGCTGAGCCCCTTTGACTTCCGCGGGCACCAGCAGGGAGAGCGGGGGGCCTTCGTATGAGGCACCGTCGCAGCCGGGAGGGCTCCGGGTGGACACAGGTGAGCTGCCTTCAGCAGAGGGGGTCAGGACAGGCCTGTGATGCTGAGGTCAAGGGCAGGTTCCAGAAGGCAGCCATGCGGGAGAAGGCTCAAGGCTCCTGTGCACAGCCACCCCCAGGTCCCGGAGCTGGTGCCCTTGGCCAGCGACACAGCCTCCCTCCCCACCCCCCAGGACACCCGGAGATGCATGAGGCTGGCACCTTCCCCAGGGGATCCGCCGCCCCCACCTTTCTTGTCCCTCCAGGGCGGGGGCGGGGGTCCCGGGCCGGGGGCCGGTTTCACTGCTGGCTCTCACACCCAGCACCACCATAAAATTGATGCTAATAAGTAGGAGCCTGTAATCACGGGTGTTTATCTCTCCCCAAGACGCCTCCTGCCTCCTCCGCAGGGTTCCCATCAGGACTAAGCCATCTTCTGCAAGGATGCTCTCCTAAAAAGTCCCCACAGCCCCGAGGCAGCTCAGAGCAGCTTGGCTCCCACCCTCGCCTCAGCGCACCACGGGGAGCAGGGACAGTGTTCCCCCAGTGTTCAGAGGGAGCAACCGAGGCAGTAACATGCCGGAGGGCCTGGGGTTCAAGTCCCGGCTCCTCTGCATCCAATCCAGCTCCCTGCTAATGCCCACTCTGGGAGGTGAGCAGACAGTGGCTCAAGTACTTGGCCCCCCTGCCACCCACGTGGGAGACCAGACTGAGTTCCTGGCTCCTGGTTTCAGTCTGACCTGGCCACGGCTGTAGCAGGCATCCGGGGAGTGAATCCGCAGATGGAAGATATCTCTCCATTTCTCTGGCTTTCAAATACAATGAAAATGATTTTTTAAAAAAACTAAAATACAAAAGTTCGTGGAGAATGGAGTCACACGCTAACACAGTGGGCATTTGGCTTGGCTATTAAGATGCTGATTGGGACATCCCAGTCCACACCACAGCACCTGGGCTAGCTCTGCCTCCTGGACGCAGCAGGTGACTGTTCCAGTAATTGGGTTCCTGGCCCACAGGGAGACCTGGGTTGAATTTCCAGGTTGCAGGTGCAGCCCTGGCCATTGTGGGCATTTGAGGAGTGAACCACCAGAGGGCAGCTCTCCTCCTCCGCTGGGTATTTTCCGGGAGCTTTATGAACACCATGCCTACACCTTCCCCCAGGGAATGTTTCGGTCCACGTCCCCCAGCTCTGGGGCTCCCTCAGCCCCTACTGCTGAGCCGTCAGGGCTGGCAGCAGCAATGAACTCCACAGGGTGAACTTTGTACAAACCCCTGTTGCTCACTGGCTGGGGCACCTCCTAATGGAAAGATTTCTTTTAAAAAGATGTGTTTTATTGATTTGAAAAGCAGAGTGACAGAGAGAGGAGAGAATCTTCCATCTGCTGGCTCACTCTCCAGATGGCCAAGCGTGGGGGACGGGGAGCTCGGGCCAGGCTGAAGCCAGGTTCCAGGTCTCCCACGTGGATGCAGGGACCCAAGCGCTTGGGCCATCTCTCGCTGGTGCATTAGCAGGGAGCTGGATTGGAAGCGGCTTCCAAGCGGATTGAATTGAGCAGCCAGGACTCAAAACGGGGCGGGATCGGTGGCTTAACCGGCTTCGCCACATGCCAGGCCGGCGCACCCCACAACTGGCGCTCCCAGCTACTGCTTACCTCCCAGGGTACTGACTGGGCAGGCCTGGGGGAGAAGGTGTGGGGGAGCTGGGGGCTCACCGCTACTCTCTGGAATCACCAGTCAGCCCGAGGGTGGCAGGAGGGAACCCCCAAATCGCCTTGAGTCCCTCGGCTTCGCCCCTTCCCCTCGGTCAGCCCAGCACCCTGGGGGTGGTAATGGACACTCAGAGGAGCCTTCTCCCAGCAGGTGCCCGAGGGTCCCCCGCCCTCCTCAGACGCCGATTCCGTCCTATTTTACAGGGGAGGGGAACGAGGCGAGAGGGAAACACGCGGAGAGAAGCCGGCCCGCCACCGCACTTCTTCCCGCCCGACTGCCGTCCGCGGCGGCTTCCGCCCCCTGCACCTGTCCTCCCAGGCAGGAGTCGCCCCGAGGCGCACGGCCCCTTTAAGGGGCGGGCCTCGCGCCGGGGCAAGCCCCGCCCCTCGAGGCCGCACTGCGCCTGCGCCGCCCGCCGGCGCGCTGGGGTTGGGCAGCGCCCAGCGCCGAGCAACTTTCAAGTGAGTCGCAGACTCCGCCCCCGCAGGCCGGAGCCGGTGGCCGGTGGCCGGCGCGGTGGGACCGCGGCGACCCGCAGGCGCGCAGGCTGCGACGTGCCGGCCCCGGGCCGGACTCCCCGCCGCCGGCGACCCCGCACCTGCGCTGACCGGCGCGGCCCCCACGTGGGCGTGTTCCCGGGGCGCTGCCCTCCCCTCCAGCATGGTGTCCTGGATGATCTGCCGCCTGGTGGTGTGAGTACGGCCGCCTGAAGACACCCCCCCCCCTGCGCGCCTCCCCCCTGCACCGCGAGG